GGGGGGGGGGGATTCAGTGAGAGATGGAGACCACCAGCCAGGCACTGGCGATACTCACTCCAAGACCTTCCTCCTCCACCGTTTGTTGTCGCTGGGGTGGTGGCGATAGGTGCCGTAGTCAAAGAGCGAATCCATGGGGGCCTTCTTGGGCCCCGGCACCACCGAGGACTCATACAGGGTGGACTCCAGCAGGTCAATGGGGTTGGGCACCCCCTTGCGGAAGGCGCCCTGGAACTTCATGCGCAGGTTTGGTCGCCCATCGCCCGAGCCCGCGGCAGGGCGACCAGCGTCGGGCGGCGAGGGCAAGGGGGACCCGTCCTCTCCCTCAAACAGGTTGGCCAGCGACGACAGGGGGAAGGCCTCGCCACCCGGGGTGCCGCTCTCGTCCCCGGGGGGCTCGGCCGCCTCCCCGGGCCCCGGGCGGGGGCCTTCGCCGGGGTCTGCCATGCTGACCCGACCCGCAGCTGGGCCTGCAGGGGAGCAGGAGAGTCAGGCCAGAGGGGGGCTCAGGAAGCCCCCTCCCACGTGGGCAAACAGCCGCTTCAAAGCCACCCTTGTAATGACAGGGGTGCGGGGCGGCCACTCCCAGATGTGGTTGGCAGCCGCCCCGGGCAGGAGCTGCAACAGGAGCCTCTTTCAGGGACCTGGAAGCGGGAGTCGCCGCGGGTCCGGCTGCCCTGGGTGGGAGCTGGAGGAGGAAGGGCTCAGGGACACCCTGGGACCCCAACCCCGGAGCTGAGGCTTACTCCTGACCAACCCAGCCCGCTTTGAGCCCCACAGAGCAGGCTGCGAGCCAGGCTCCGCACTCAGCAACTGCGTGACCATGGACAAGGCCACATTCCACAGCCTTGGTTTTGTCACCTGCAAAATGGGGACGTCCAGGCGCAGTGCCTGACACAACCATGAACCCCGTGCTGCGGGCACAGGAGGTGCTCAGGAAATCCCTGGGAGCCCACTGTGTCCTCAGCACGAGCCAGGCGTCCTCGATTTCCTCGCCCGGCACCATCATTCTGACCCCCACTTTCCAGGATTGGAAGCAAGGTTCTGAGGCTGCAGCTGATCCCCGCCCCCTCCCAGGGCCAAGTGCCAATCCACC